TTGTTTTTTATTTGATTATTTTACTGTTATTTCTAAATTAAGACTCACATAATTATTTTAATGACTTTAAAATTACAAAATAGCAAAAACAAACAGTAGAACAAGGCAAAGTTCACTTAAGTAACATTTCTTTATAGAGTGTAAAATAATAACAGTAAAATAAATTTTTTTTTTTAAAAAAAATGTTCTCTGTGAAATTAATCTCCAGAAACTGAAATTCTGAGGTTTGGTTCACAGATCCAAAGCAACTTCAAAATACAGGAAACAAATCAAACAACCAGAACCCAGTAAACCACAATGACCATCAATGATTGCACAGTAAAGGACATGCCCACCAAACGTAAAAAAAAAAATTTAAGTTTGCATAAAATTGCAAACCTTTAAATAGTTGCTGAAATTCACTTGCCATTCAAGCGCCTCACATAGCAGAGTGGTGTGTTCCCCACTTTCTTGTGGCTCTTGCCTCCCTTCCTCCTAATTTTCCCTCAAAACTTTACTCTGAAGATGGAAAGCAATTCTTAAGTATTACAATTTGACTTTCAGAAGTAATTTTACAAGTATGTACTACCATCTAAACTAATACTCTAAAGACCTTTGCTGAAAAGATAAACAGTCTTCTCTCCAAGGCTACTTCCCACACTCATATTTAAATACTGCTCTATGACAAATCTTTGCCAATAAAATTTGGGGAAATATACCTTTCAGTTCTTTAAAAAATGATCTGTGAGCAACAGGTGGAATCCCAGTCCTTGGAGGGGAGGATTCACAAAACTTGGAGAGCTCTAGAGTGCATTTTACCACAAAGAAAAGAAGCATGGTAACCAAAACAGTTAAACTTCAGTGCACTAAGGCACTATAATTCTGAAGTGAATTTATTACCATAATTTATATTAGCAACAAATACAGAAATTTCTAGATATTTCAATACCTTTTAATTAAAGGTATTTATAATGAATATTCTGGAAAGGTTATTTAAAGTTCCTTTAAGTAACATTAAATTTCAAACCCTACCAAACAATATTCCATCTCAACTTTGTTATAATTTACTCAGTTTAAACAAAAAGGATGAGTATTTCCAAATACTTGGCTTGTTTGCTTGGAGTAGGAGGCTGGCTTTTTGTTTCGGGGAAGGGGTTGTTTGGTTTTGACAAAGTCTCAATATGTAACCTAGACTGACAAACTACAGGGTTCTGCCTCACAAAGGCTGGGATTATAGGCATGTGCCAGCAGGCTGAAGAGGATGTGGGAAGAGAGGAATCCCTACTCACTGCTGGTGATTTACAATACATTGCAAACTAGTACAGCCATTAGAAATTACCTCCAAAAAAAATTACAAACAGGACTATCACACAACCCAGCTGTATCAATCCTGGACATGTAATTCTAAAGACTCTTATTAGTGTCATTATGACTTATTAATAGTCATAACTACAAGGAAACAGAATCAGCATAGATGTCATGCTAACAAAGAAAACAGCAATCTAGATGCCTATAATGAAAATGTGGTATACATGCACAATGAAATTTTACTCAGCTGTAAAGAAAATTGGAATCTGCAGGAAAAATAGGTAGGCCTGGAAAGCATTATATTAAGCCAAGTGATCCAAATGCAGAAAGACAACCAGTAAGTTTTCTCTGCATATGCAGACTATAGCTTGCATGTGGGAATAAACGTGGAAAAAGCCTAAAATACTAGAATGGACACCAAGAAAGAGTAAAGAGAGCATGAGGGAAAAACAAGAACAAAAGAACATATATGACATGTAGGAGAGTAGGACAAGATAGAAACAAAGGGGGGTGGGGGGAACAGGAGAGCTAGGAGGAAAATGAAAACAAATTTTGTTTGAAAATGCCAGTGAAACCTAAATCTTTGTATATTAATTTTTTTAAATAAGTAAAAGTATATTTTGCATTTTATAAAGCTGTCCCTATAAGGTGTGCTTATATATTTAAATTTCACTAGATATTTTGAAATTTTAGAAAACCTCACTGTATAGTTACAAAATTTAGAAAATACTAATATCATTGTTAAGACCTAACTAGGGAAACTTTTAATATTCATTTTTATTATATGTATATGTATCTATATGTGACCATGTGCACATGTCAGTGCTCTCTGAAACCAGAAAAAGGTGTCAGATCCCGAAAAGCTGGCCTTACAGTAAGTTGTGAGCTGCCTAACATGGGTGCCTAGGAACCCAACTCTGGTCCTTTGTAAGAGTACTATGTTCTCAATCACTCAGCCACCTCTCCAACACGAAAACTGGTTATTTTTAAAGAGACATGAACTTAACGAAAGTATTCCCACATTGTCTCTGCTCTGTCTTCATCCCAACTCCCACCCAAAAGTAAAACAAACAACAAAAAACATCTTAAATTTGAACCAAATGAAATGGCAACTGCCTATAATTGCAGTAGGGAGGTTTAGGCTGAAGGACTAGAAGTCTGAGGTAAGTCTTCAACTACAGGGCAAGACTCAAAACACACACAATTTTAAAAATTGTAATTCTTTTAACCTTTCCATTGGTTATATTTTATACTCCTCATCATGATGATTCTCAAAAATCACAAATTAAATTTAAATAAATTAAAATTCAATGCATAACACATTCACTACTCTACCCAAAACAATGAAAAGAGCAAATTATTTTAAGATGGTAGAAAAGCTCAGAAAGATACTCCTAAAGGTTTTATTTACCAGAATCAGTCAACCTGAACTAAAAGAATTACATAACACTTTAATGAGACTTCTTCTCTGTGACTATATATAAAATCTGGTTCTTCGATCCATTTTAATGTTTGATTGTATTCAAACATGTATAGAAACTTAGAATGAATCCTCCCCCAGTGACTATGCACTAAAATTCATTAAAAAGAAATTAAACTAAAAGACTATCCAAAAAAAATAATATATCAAGTTTGGTTATTATCTACAAACTAACACGCAAGGCTACATTGATAATTTTATTTCTTTTTTATTATTATTATTTTTTACACTTTATTCGATAATTTCTAAAAACAAAAAGGGGGGGACATCTCATATGGTTACATATACTTATGTATATCAAAGGCCTCTGAAAATACCTTTTCCCTTCAGTGTTGGAAACCAAACCCAGAGCCTCATCCAGACAATGCAAGTTGTACACAAAGCTACATCCCCAGCTCTGTTTTCTTGATCCCTACCTCACAATTAAAGAATACTGTTCCGGGTAATTAATGAGTATTTGTACTTAAAAAACTTTTCAATACTTATAATCAGAGCTGTAGCAAGCAGTACTAAAAGAAAACATCTCCTATGTGCCAAGTATGTTTTCTCATCCTATTCTCACAACCTTTACTGAAAGGGTAGCATCTTCCTGATAGAAATAAGAAAACAGATGTTCAAATTCTAGACATTAAGAGAATATGAGAATGAACGTTAATGACAGACAGTCCTGGTTCTAATGGGTCTGTAAAAGTTAAGTCCCATTAAACTGAACACTTAAGCTGCTCCTCAAACAGCGTTAATAGAAAACAGCTTTTTACCTCTCCTCTCCAACCCTCCACCGCACCTTACCAGCCAACAACATTCTCTGTGAGACCGAGTTCAGAAAAGAGCAATTTCTGGCCATTACAGTGACCACGGCCTAAATGCTTCAAATCTGTATTGTGACTCCACCTAGAGTCCAGGTCTAACTGTGCGGCCTAACTAAACAAAAAAGTAAAGAAAATGAGGTAAGTCGGCAAATAAAACGTCGTTTACACGCACAGAGTATATTAGCAGATTTACCTTTATTTCCGCTTTTTGTTTTGACTCTTCTAAAATAGCTTTCCAGGAGCACAGAACGAGAAAACCGTGGAAGCTGCTTGCTCTAGGTTTGGAGACTTGAGGAAAACATGTTTGGTTGTGCATGACTATCTTGATGCACAACTGAGATAAGCAGCAGTAAGGTAGCATCGAGAAATGCTGTAATGTACTTTCGCTGTGTACAAACAGCTCAGCCGAACTCCTGAACACAATCCTCCTAAACAGCCTAAGCTAAGTAAGCTGGGTGGCTTAAGATGACAGCTCCCGTAACTTCCTCTTCCTCACTGACCTCAGTTCGGAGCGTCCACGCCTTTCCCTCTAGGAGGCAGGATATAAGCAGTTTCAAATTCACAAAATCAATCCAAGCCCACCAACACCACGGGCCAAGAAGGCCAGTTTCCCTTTCCTCCTCTGCCTTTCCAGGTTGATTTTTCTTAGTGTGGAGGAAATAATAATAACAACCTTACCAACGATAAAGTATCTGCAGCAGCAACAACAACAAAGAACGCATCTACTCAGTGCCTCCACCACACAGCCTTAAAGGAAGGACGCGGAGAGGGGATCCGAACACCCCGGGTTCCGAGAATTTACTGTTTTGGTTCACTTTCCCTCGGGTCCCCCCCCCCCCCAACCCCCCCAACCCCCCCCCCCCCCCCCCCCCCGGGGGCCCGCGAGGGGGCACCACAAACACCCCCTCCACCCCCGCCGGGAGCCCGGCCGCGGGCCACGCG